CTGCTGCTCAACTTGCATATCTTTCAAGAGGTCAGATTTGTTAATTTAGTTTTTTCTAAATTAGTTCATATTCATACACACTTGTTTTCTTTTTCTAGGACCCTCTTATATACGACCAAATCCAAGTGTATTTTTTCCCGAAAAAACATTTAGAAAGTGTATTGACCGAGAACTCAAAGATACAATGAAAAAACTTAAGCAATGTATGTCTAATGATCATGATCGATCAAAAATACCACTCAACTCACCCTTATATAAATCCTATGCTGATCAACTTCAATCCTGTTTAAATTAAGCTTATATGACTCCTACCCCCTTGATCGATCAAATACGTGCTCTACGTGAATTAAAAATGGTTCAATCGATTCGAAAAAAATTTAAAAAATTTAAACTGATACAACGTGAAACCGATAAAAGTGGTGTATTACATATTGGTTCTGCCGCTGATTATGAACGAAAAGCACTTGAATATCGACGAACAACGGGTGCTTATGAACTATTAACGTCGAATCCATTCAATGATATCATCTGTACTGTAACACGTTTATTGAATCGATTATAATCCTTGAAACGAATACTTGAACGACATCGAGTGAAAATGATGCCCAATCGGAAGAAAACCGAATTAGCTTATATGTATTTTATTCTTAAACCACATAAGGTAATTCCATCTTAGACATCGTATTCGAAGTTCATTGTTGAATACTTATTCATATTTTTCTAGAAATGTACACCACTTCGACCAATATTGAATACAATACACGCTGCAACCAAACAAATTTCTCAATTCTTAGATCGTCTAATTCGACCTTTATTTGATCGATATATACGTCAAACAACGTTTGTGGATGGTGCTGATCTTCTTAACCGTCTTCAACATTATATTCAAAAAGGTTATTTAAAATCATCGACACTTTTCATTACTTTTGATATTAATAATCTTTATACCATGTTACCACAAGAAGAATCTTTAAATGTACTTGCTGAATTTCTTCGTGTACATAATTGTGAAAAAGTGAATGGTCTTTCCATTGATACAATTATTGAATTAGCTCGTGTAGTACTTCAAGCAAATGCTTTTGTTTACAATAACAAGTTTTATCGACAAATTATTGGTGGTGCTATGGGTTCGGCCTTTACTTTAACATTAGCAAATATATTCATGTGGAAATGAGAAAGACAAACTATTTTACCAAAATTAGCTTCTCATGAATTATATGGCCGGTACATATTTTCATTAGTATACATACAAATTTATTTATCTGTATTTTGTTTTTCGCTATAGATATATTGATGATATTTTCTTTACCTGGAATGGATCTGAAGATGAAGTCAAAGAATTATTAGAAGCCTCAAATTATTTTCGTCCAAATATTAAATTAGAACATAAGATTAGTAAAAGTGTTCCATTCCTTGATGTTCTTGTTCAACACAATCATGGTACTTTGGTATCATCATTCTATCATAAACCTTCGGCTGAACCAACTGTCGTATCATTTCTATCCGATCATCCACGACATGTCTTTCGAAA